GCAGCGGGCGGGGCGGGACGTGGGAGAGCGAGGAGAGCGCATGCGTGGTTGCAGAGGTGGGCGGGGAGGCTTCGCGTTGTTACGCGGCCGCGCATGCGTTCTCGCGGGGCGTGAGTGGGTGACGCCGCAGCTGAGCGGGGGAGGGGGTTCGCTCGGCCGCGTGAGGCGGGTGACGGGCCGTGGGTGACCGTGTCCGGTCTCCTCCTCACCGAGCCGCCGCCCTCTTTTCCCGCTGGTGTATCCCTGGGGCGTATGGCACCTGGTTACTTGGCAGTGCAGGCCGCTGGTGTGGCCGCGGTGGGCCACGGCCCAGCTGAAGGCGGCAGGGTCGCCCAGGACAGCCTTAGCGAGCCGTGAGCTGGAGGAGGCTCCTTTGCGGTCTAGGAATTGTTGCTGTAGGAGGTGGAAAGAGGCATCCCACACCCCTTGCACCTCCTCTCCAAAATCCCCTGAGGCCATCAAGGGGGCTCACTTGGAACAGGCTTGAGGTATTGCTGCTGCCGACCTCTGCTAGAGGGGAGGATGGCATTAGCCAGGGTCTGGGAGAGGTTGGAACTGTGAGCATCCCGTTTCCATCCAAGTTTCTATCCATACTGTCCTTCCAGGAAATATACTTTTATTTTTGTGACTTCGGAGCGATGCACAGGAATGTCAGATGCTCTCTTCAGAGCAGATGGCTGGGATGAGGGCAACACGAGTGCATGCAAAGCTTGTGCAGGGGCTAAAATTCGGGGCTCCCCAGTTCAAGAAATAGGGAACTACTGGAGAGAGTCCAGAGGAGGGCTACAAAGATGATTAGGGGATTGGACCGTCTCCTTTCTGAGGCAAGGCTGAGAGAGCTGGGTCTGTTTAGCCTGGAGAAGAGAAGACTGATAGGGGATCTCATAAGTGCTTATAAATACCTGAAGTGTCAAGAGGATGGGGCCAGACTCTTCACAGTGGTTCCCAGAGACAGGACAAGGGGCAATGTGCACAAACTGGAGCACAGGAAGTTCCACCTGCACCTGAGGAAAAACTTCTTCACTCTGAGGGTGCCAGAGCACTGGATCAGGCTGCCCAGAGAGGTGGTGGAGTCTCCTTCTCTGGAGATACTCAAAACCCACCTGGACGTGTTCCTGTACAATCTGCTCTGGGGGAACCTGCCTTGGCAGGGGGGTTGGTGGTCTCCAGAGCTCCCTTCCAACCCTGACTGTTCTCTGATTCTGTGCAAATAAGCCTCGCTTCTCCCACATCACGCTGTTGTATCTGCCTGAGGCGTGTTTTGGAAGAGAAAAGCACCACAATCGTTGCAGGGTAGTGAATTTTTGGTAGCATGAAACCTTACGGTGTGGCCACGTGATGGCACCATAATCTTAAGAACTGAAGAGGAGTGGGCGCACAAGTCGTGTGGGATTGTTAAGAGGCCAGCGCTTTGGTCACTTGGGCAGATCCTAAACACACCAAAAACTCTTTTGTATGCTTATTTATTTTAAGAACACTTAATCTTCTTCTACGATCAGAATGAATTATGTGAGACAGTGCTCTTCCCATCTGTAACAATAAACATATGTAATGACAACCATCATACTGTTATTAGATGATGCTGATTCTTAGTCCACTTATAAAACCCTGAATTTGCCCTGCCTGCTCTTACAGCATCACAGCAACCCGTTGCGAAGAGGAATCTCCTTTTTCATTCTTCTGGGCTATTCTAAAAAAAAGGCGGGTGGAGGCAGGAAGGATCAAGAAGTTAATCAACTTTAATGGATTGTATAATACAAACTATTACTACAGTCTGTGGGCAGAGTCCTTAATTGAATGCACCAGCACTGCTACCAAATGCCATGTATTGTACTACCTCCTGGAAGGTGGATCACAGTTCACTACAGTAGCTGAAATCTGGCTTGTTCTCATTTGCTGAAGTGTGGTCCCCTCTCAGTCAAGTGACAGAAGCCCTTGATAAGCTTCTGATCCACTGGGCCACCAGTGTCTAAGCTCCAGCTCTTCCCTTTGGAAGCTGCTTGTCTCTTGGAAAGATCCATGCTTTAGAAGACAACACTGCAAAGGTTCGGGTCTGCTTTGTGACATGCCTGTCAGAAAAGCTTGTCAGCGTGCTCATGCACGTTTGGTTGTTGCGCTTTGCTCCTGCAGGGCTGGTCAAGATCTGTAACCTGGCTGGCACCAAAGCCCTCCAGAGAAAGGAACTTGTTAAAGGCAAGGTGTCCTGGGGACAGGTACAAGTTGTTGTCAAGAGCAGAATAAAATAAAAAAATATTCTCATAAAGGTATTCTAGAAGGCAAAATAAAAAATCCAAACTATCTAGAAAGTTACTGCATGCAGCTTCCTATGTCTTTAAAAAATAAATGTGTATGTTTGCCATTTTATGCTGAAACTAACCCCCGATTTCTGCTTATACCGATACTATTACCTATTTTAAAAGCATATGAAAGTCCAGAAAGTAACTGATGCACAGGGTCGTAAAAAAGAGTATGCATCTTAAAACCTTGTAAACTAGAAGTTGGAGTATACTTTTGTTATACTTCCCATGTGGATGTAGTCCAAAAGTGGTTCTTAAATAGTAACTTAAACCAAGATAAGCAAAGATTTCCCTATTTCACTTCCTGCTTTCACAAGCACTTGACAATGTAAATATCTCTTTGAGGCTGTTTGAAACATTTGCTTCTTTGAAAATGTTATTTAAAAGGCTGGCTGGAGGAGTTGGGAAGCAGAAATTACCCTACTGGATAGGAACAGCAATCAAAATATTCACTTTAAATTTTCTGTCTCCAGCATTGTCCAAAACCATATGTCTTAGGGGAAATGTAAGAAATGCTAGAAAGGAAAGTTTGGCCCAAATCAATTAGTAGCATGACTGTGGTGGTATCATAAGCACCTGAGTATACCATATGTCATGGTTTCTATGTGTCCCAAGTGTTTCGCAGGACCTGAGCCTTAAGGGGAAGTCATATTTGGCCATCAGACTTATTAATTATGGAAGCTTTTGCTCTCTGTAAACCTTCTAAATGGCAGAAAAACCCCATTATCATAGCCTCCAGATGATACCTGCTTCTAAAACAAAAAAGAGAAATTCTATATCCTTGATTCTGTAGAACAGTGAATATTTTTACACTCATGTTTTGATAACTTAAATGTTTATAGTATATGCTTATCTCTAAAAACATCTGGGTCAACCCTGATCAGAAATCACACCTCTAATGCTGTTGTGGTTTTGCAGCCATTACGACTGCATTAATTTCATTTTTTAAAGTTTTTCTGTTATGTGGGGTAGAAAAATGACAAGCAGAATCATTGCACTAAAAAGCTAAAACCCTGTTGACTTCTTGTCCACATTTGATCTAAGCTGGTTCAAGCTCCGTGTGCCATACTTTAGTTTTAAAATATTGTGAACCCATTGATTTTCTGATCAATGATAGGTCATTCTAGTAGCTTTTTAGTACAAGTAGCATATAAAAGGTAAGTTGATTAAAGGAGAGCCTTCTGAAATATCAAACTCTGGAGTCACTTATGTATCAGCACATAGTAGTTAAAACTATTATGAGAAAGATCAAAGAGGTTGTTATTCAGCCATAAGCAAAGGAAAATACACCTTGAAATATCAGTCTCTGCTACATGCATAAAACCTTCCCACACCACTTGTAAAGATTCTTTACCACAGACCTCAGTAAATTAGCATTATTTACAGAGATACACAACCAGGCTAGTAAAAGGTGTGACTGAGACTGCATTTAAAGGATCTGTCTTGTGTAAGGTACAGTCAAGAGATGTTTCCAAAGAGCCAGTGTCAATTTCTAACCACTATTTCACTTCAAAAACTCGGTTCATGAGCCTGCTAGCTTAGGCCTTCAGCCTTTGGGTGGGCTTGGGCCCTTTAGTACCAAACTATGCTTTTACATTCACAAAAAAAAGAGAACGCTTCCCTACGAAATCACATGTTATCATGTCTAGGCAGCTAATTTGCTGCATCCTTTTCACTTATGCACATATACTCAAATGTATGAGCAAATACAAGCTTTGGTAAAGATGTGTACTGTGACCTTTTGGAGCTGCCTTAGAGCCAAAATCCAGAATAGATTCTGCAGGCTTTCATCACTGACTTGTTTTCACAAAAGCCAATTCCACTTTTTTGATAGCCACAACTTACAGTGCAGCGGAAACTTCTTGTTCTCCAGTAGATTGTGTGTAGGTGGAGCTAGCCCGTTCAGCTGTGTCAACATAGAAAACGGGACAGTATTTAGAGAAGTGGGACGCAATCTGCTTTCGGAAAAAGCTGCGAAGATACTTCCTAAATTTTTCCCCAGCAAAGGCATAAATTACAGGATTGATACAGCAGTGGATCATTGAGATTGTTTCTGTCACTTGGATTGCTTTGTGCAGTTGACCACTGCCTTCACAAGTAGTGATGGAGAACACACCTTGGAAATCACGCAAAAGAATGCAAATGTTGTATGGTGCCCAGAAAATAAAGTAGACAATCATGATGATAAAAATAAGCTTGACTGCTTTGTGTTTCTTCTCATTCCTACATTGCAGTAATGTCTTTATAATTTGTGTGTAGCTGCAGATCATAATTAACATTGGAATAACGAGTCCCAGGATATTCATTTTTAAGGTCAGGAATTGCTTCCATGCATTTCTCTGTTCTGATGGATAATGAGCACTGCAAGTATAATGTGAATTTTCCCTTTGCGTTTTGTGAAATACCATCCCAGGAACAGAAGCGAAAATCGCAACAGCCCAAGTGACAGCGCTGGTGAGGATGCCGTAGGTAACTGTCCTGGCTTTTAAAGCAAACACTGCGTGCACTATGGCCAGATACCTGTCTAGGGTCAACAGGATGATGAAGAAGATCCCGCTGTAGAAGCCAAGGAGGTAGACACCTGAGAGAATTCTACACAGCGCCTCCCCAAAAATCCAGTCGTGAACAGCGTAGTAAGCCCAAAAAGGGAGAGAAAATATAAACAGCAAATCAGAAATTGCCAAATTGAGCAGGTAGATGTCAGTCATACTCTTCAATTTCTTGTATTTCACCAGGATAAGGACGACAAGCATGTTGCCTGTGAGGCCAAATATCACCACCAAAGAATAAAGCGGTGGCAAAAGTTGGGCTGCAAAGTGTTTTTCCTCGGTTCCCATGCACGGCTCTGATTCGCCATAGTCGAATTCTGTCGTCACTGCCAAGTCGACTAAGTCTATGGTGTGGTTTTCCATGGTGTCTCAGTCTGGAAAGGAAGAAAAGGGTGTTAAGCTAGTAGAAATTCTAAGCTCGGCAGCGAGGGGGATGAAACACACTCAATGTCGTCATCTGGAACGCTTTTTGCTGTTGAGCACATCAGCATTACTAGGCCCAGGT